GATGTGAACTCGCGTAGCAACAGTGACTATGAAACCCACACGAGATTGAAATCAAATCCCATGAACGTCCAAGATTCAAGGCTTTGGATTTTATCCAAAAACTATGAACCAAGCAACCAATAAAATAGAATTTATCGACCTCTTGATCACACAACGATTAAATCTCACCTGGATTGTGAACGCTACAAGAAACTCAATTTCTTAATGAGTTCGACTTGTCCATTAAAGAACAAGAGATTTGAAGGATAAAGTCTCGAGAAAAAATTCTCAATTCAATTCATGATAAAAATATTGATTTTTACTATGAAAGAAATGAAACATATTTATACTAAAACCTAATAATGTAGTAAAAATGGAAAATAACTTCTAAAGATTGAAAAGATTGCATAAAATTGGAATTCTAACGTAAATAGGTAACTCGCGGAAAAAGGAAACTTCGCGTGTCGCATTTGTTCTATACGACCGCATGGTTATTTTTATTGCGATCGCATGGTTCAAATCAATCTTGCCTCCTTGTTCTCGAGTGAAGGGCTTCTGGTCACATAGCTTTTAAAGCTATGCGTTCGCATAAATTTATTTTTGAAACCTTTTTTTCCTTGTGCAGAATTTCATGAAAATTCCGGATTGTATTCATGAGCCAAAATCTGACACTCGAGCTGAAAGTTATGCCCGTTTTAATCCACACTGCTCTTTTTTAATATATCTTCCAAAATATTGAATCCAACACACCAAACATGATTTCGCCTTCATGACCGATATATAAGTTGTTGTTTGGCATGTTAACTTCAACAGTTTGGACTCCGTCTCTCGGACAAGTAATTACATGGCTTTGTTGACTTTAGTTGCTCACGTCCTTGCCATAAACCTCTTCTCGACTTGTTCCGAACCCTTGGAAATTCGTGGCCTTCCTTGGATCTCATCTTCCCCTCCCTCTTCGAAATGATTTGACCTCGAATCCGGACCCATGTTTGATCCTTTGTCTCCAATCATGACACTGACTTGAAATAGTTCGTCTCCTCTTGAATGCAATTTGGGCCTCCATTGAATTCGTGTCTGCCTCTTTCTTATGTAAACCCAAAAACAATCACCTAGATTGAAATGTTCACGTCTCCACAGTTTCCTTCAGCTAGTTTATGATGCTCCAAGAACAATCTCTTTTGATGAGTCACCGTGCATTTTCCATGTCTTATCCTGTCGAGGTACTTGTAGCAATGATACTACAAATGGGTTTATATGTCTTCTCAGATCATCTTTTTTATTCAACCCCTCGCATATGAATTCCTTCCATTGCCTTTGAAACTCCTTTGTCTTCTCAAGGATCACAAAGTCAACCTTCGGTGAATAAAGAAAATCCAAGCTAAGGTGTTGTTGGTTAATTTCATCCACAAGTTGATGCTCAATGCCTAGATTGTATGGTATCTCAATAGTCTTGTCTTCATGGACTAAGTCTTCAAAATCCTGTAAGAAAGAAATAGCAAAGCTAGGGAGAGAATTGTTAGTTCTCACTAAAGCCCTCTCCGCTTCATGCTCTTTTTCATGCAAGCTCACTTCTAACCTTTCTTTTCTCTTCAAAGACTCACCTTCTTCTTCCTCTTGTAGTTCCACTTCTCTTTTAACCACATCTCCATTCTCATTTTCACTCTCCACTTATCTTTCACTTTCTCGTGGCTCTTCTATTTTTTTTCTCACAGCTAGTCACCACACAATTTTCTCTTTTGCACTCTTGTTCCATCGTATGATCAATTAGAAAGTTAGTCAGGTCATGAAGCTTTGAGAACTCTAGAATCCAAACCGGTCAACTTACTTGATGTACTACCAACATACTTTGCAATAGGTATTTTCTCTTTCGTTCAATACGCAACTCCATCACATTTGCTAGGCTTCTCTCTAAACTCATTTTCACGCCTATATCTCCTATCCCTATAATAGTGATTAGGTACATACCACTTCCTCATAATAGCCCTTAACTCATCCCAAATTTCAATAGGCCTCTCATAATTCCTCCGCCTAGATGTTGTTAGCTGGTCCCACCAAGGTATAGCATAATCCACAAATGTGCTTACAGCTAACTTTAACTTTCTCTTTTGAAATAACTATGGCATTCAAACATCAATCCTACCCTTTCTTCCCTCGCCACGTATGCCTCAGGGTCACTCCTTCCCTTAAATTGTGGAATTGTCATCTTTACATTTCTCATTCTCCTATCAACACCGTCTCCAACAAGATTCATATCTCTTATCTCAAGTCTATCACCTCTATTTCTCATCTTTCATAATTCAGCCTCAAATAATGCATCTTTATCACTGTCACTACCATCTCTATACATATCACGAACGTCAATCATAGGCTCCAATCTATCCTGTCTCCTCACATTAGACACTTCTACACATTGCTCCCTATGAAATTTAGCAAGTTTTGTATCAAGCTTATCCAGCATATCTCCCATATCCACTAACAACCTTTCAAATCACTGCATCATCTCTTCCAATATGTTGATTTGAGTATTTCTTCTTGCTTGAACTTGATTGTCTCTCTCTTTTCTTTGACTTTTTTTGGCTCTTTTTTTTATTCTCTCTTTTTTTGGCTCTTTTTTTACTCTCTCTCTCTCTCTCTCTCTCTCTCTCTCTCTCTTACTCTTTTGATAGAAAACTTGACTACGAATCCAACAAAACAGACAGAAGTTGATTTGGATGCTAAATTAGCCTAAAAACAACTTTTAAAATTTTGATGGGATTTTTATGGATCAAAGACTCAAACTAAATTGAAAAATACGAAGAACACAAAACGAAAACATGAAAAAACAAAAAAGCAAAGACTCAACAAAAATAAAACGGATATAACATTGATTTTGGAACCTTGGCTCTAATACCAATTGATGTGAACTCGCGTAGCAACAGTGACTACAAACCCACACGAGATTGAAATCAATCCCAAGAACGCCAAAGTTTCAAGGCTTTGGATTCAATCCAAAAACTATAAACCAAACAACCAATAAAATATAATTTATCGACCTCTTGATCACACAATGATTGAATCTCACCAAATTGTGAGCGCCAAAGAAACTTAATTTCTTGATAAGTTCTATTTGTCCATTAAAGAACAAGAAATTTGAAGCATAAAACCTCGAGAGAAAATTCTCAATTCAATTCACGATAAAAGTCTTGATTTTGACAATAAAAAATAAAACATATTTATACTAAAACCTAATAATGTAGTAAAAACGGAAAATAACTTCTAAAGATTAAAAAGATTGCATAAAATTGGAAGTCTAACGTAATTAGGTAACTCGTGGAAAAAGAAAACTTCGCATGTTGCATTTGTTCTATGCGACCGCATGGTTATATTCATTGCGGTCGCATGCTTCAAATCAATCCTACCTCCTTTGTTCTCGGGTGAAGGGCATGCGGTCACATGTCTTTTAAGCTATGCAGTCACATAGCTTTATTTTTGAAACCTCTTTCTCTTTGTGCAAAATTTCGTGACGATTCCGAATTGTACTCATAGGCGAAAATTCGATACCCAAACTGAAAGTTATGCCCATTTTAATCCCCGCTGCTCTTTTTTCCATATATCTTCCAAAATATTGAATCTGATGCACCAAACATGATTTCACCTTCATGACCAATATATAAGTTGTTATCTGGCTTGTTAACTTCAAAAATTTTTGACTCTGTCTCTCGAACAAGTAATTGCACGGCTTTGTTGACTCTAATTGGTCTTGTCCTTACCATAAACCTCTTCTCGACTCATCCCGAACCTTTGGAAATTCGCGGCCCTCCTTGGATCACATCCGATGGAAAGAGTATAACCAAAATTGCCAAACACTAGTTTGGTCTATTTCGGGTCAAGACCAACTGGTTGCAACTCCTTGATACGTGCCTATTCAAATGCATTGTGCTTGAACCGGGTTTCCTATTAATTTATTTGCTTGAAACATACTTTTCAAATATCAGCTCCATTTTGAACACCAACTTTTTTACGTACCAAATGTTGCCAACAATTTGAGGATTCTTTTTTCAACTTTTGAGTCACGAGTACTTCTTCCAGTTCGATATCGTTCAAATCAATTGGAACATTTTGCGATGCATCATAGTCGGTTGGAGTACTCGAATTATCATTAAACTAATTAATCTCATCATTAGTAAAATTCATATATATTCTATGGCTATTATAATAAAAGATATTGAATATTGGAGTAAAAGAAATTGAATATTAGAGCAAAAAAATTAGAGATTGAAGTTGAAATTAAAATACAGCAAGTTAAAACTGATCGAAGAAAATTGTTATAAAACTAAAAAATTTAACTCATATTTATAGCCAAAAAAAAATTGTTTCAACTAAATTTTAGATTCAAATTTGAAATTTGTATTTTACGATTGACATAAAGCTTGTTAAGACAACTATTGTAGCTACCTTAAACAAGCATCTATGTACCTGTTAAGGTAGTAGATAAATATAGCTACCTGTTAAGGCAGCTTTTCATCATTATTATTATTTCCTCTTAAAGGTCGGCTCATGGGCTGGCTCGAGTCGGCGCCCCAAAATGGGGCTCAATCCCTTAGAGCCACGTGTTGAGCCAGGTCGGGCGTTGGCTCAGGCGGGCCAATTTACGTCCCTAGATCCACGTTAATCCAAATCGACAGTTTCAATTCAATTTTACAATTTGACAATTTCGTTGTATAGCCCTAGATGTTTATAAGCTTTACAAAGCAAGAGTTTCTCGCATTAAATTTTTGAGTTGATCATTTCACAATTCTAAAAACCTCTAAATGTTAGTAAATGGTTAAGCTTCGGGATTGAGATCTCGAAATTTTATATAATTTGTATAGGAAATTTTCGCTATAGATGGCATTATTTTTGACAAATTTTTTAATATTAAAAACTTGGTGATTATATTTGTTAGCGGGAAAAATTCACATGTCAATCTCTAGGGGAAAAGAAAACGTTCCACCAAACACTTTAGTCGAGGAAAAACTACCGCATGAAAATTAAACACAGAATTGTAGAGAAAGTTTAACACAGTACTATTCTTTTTTGTTGGCAATACACTCTTAGCACAAGGACTTGAGTTTATTCTTTATATAATTACAGGCAATACTGTGCCCATTTATTCAATTATATCTAGGTTTGCAGTCCACTTAGTTATTATATTTAGCTTTGTAGTCCGTCCAGAGCTGATCCACAGTCTTGCCCAGAAGCTCAACAAAGAAATTATCACTGTAACCATCTCTCATCTTCTTGTTAAGTTGTGCTACGACCCCAGTTTTGAGACTGTTACAGTAATCCAAGAAGTATGCAGTCACGTCGTAACCTTGATCCCACTTGTCTCCTTGCCCGGGTTTCACCCAATGACTTGGTGCATAGCCAGCCTTGAGCCTCACATAATCAGCTATACCTGTTGCAGCCGTAAAATATATCATTTAGACTGTTAAGGGATGAAATTCCACGTCAAATAAAAATGAAAGCATAGACTTACTTATTAGGACTTGAGCTACTACTTTTAATAAGACTAATTTTTTAAGATGGAAATCCAAGTCTTAATATAATATCAAAGTCTATTAAGTTCAAACGAGCAATTAATCCGATTAAGACTCAAAAAACCAAGCACATGAATTATAAGATTGGTCTGCTACTCTGCTCAAGCCATCCACTATTTTGGGAGCATGCTATGGAATAAAATCACACGTCGAATAAAGATGAAACTGAGAGAAAATAGGTTCGACATGCACGCGTGAGGGAAGAAACAATTGAAGTATATAAATTTGTTCGATTCAATTGCAACTTTTGTTCAATATCCCAAAACGATTTGATTGACACCTCTATCTATGTAGCTTAAACTTCAGATGAAATGATTCAAGAATACCTTCTATGAGTCCTCCAGGAGCTTGACCATTTCCATTCCATTGCCAGATGTGAGTCATTTCATGATACAGAACTCCAGTGATCTCTCTTCTCACATCACCGGAGTAACCCTGTATGTATCTTGCACTGACGTGAATCTCGTTGTTGATGGCATACGCAACTCCGTCCATATCATCAATGAATAAACTTACTCTCTGAACATTTTTCCGGTCAGCCGGAGAACTGAACTGTTGGAAGGTTCTCCATATGAAGCGTTTAGATAGATAGAGTGTTTCGGTGGTGTACTGAACTCCAATTTCCCTAGCGAATCGAGCACCACCAGGAGTATTTGAAGCAGTGTTGGTTATTGTGTAGTCCACTGCATGGATTCCTTGGATAGCTGCTAGAATTGCCAAGAAAGAGAGACAGTAGATTCTTGAATTAGCCATGGTTTTATTTTGCATGTTGTTAGGAACACTGCGGTTTATATATAGATGAAAAAGAATTGGACTTGGTCGTAAACACTTTCGTAAATAAAATAAGTGGGAATCAAATTGAAGTTTAAAAATATGATGAATTGATTCTGGCAGTGGCGCACTGCTGCCTCCGCAGCCAATCTAATGAAGCCCTTTTTGACAAAGTCAGCCATTTACTTAGGGCAGTGCCGCAGTGCGCTTCATTACAAAGCCAGAGTTATTCAATGTACTGCCCGGTACTTTGTAAATAAAATATTCAATGTGGAATCTCTCACATATAAGGAGAATGTGTAACTTGGTGTACACGAACATTGTTGAATCTAAAGTCACCTATGTCCTTTGCTGTCATAGAATTCGGTGGTTTTGATGAAAATTTGGCTTTTTAATGAATTTTGATTAAAAAAAAAAAAAAAGAATGGAACATGTGGTTGAGAAGTTGTGAATTCAAAAAATGTATTATTAAAATTATTTTTTAATGTTGATTTAAATTTTAATTCATTTTTTAGATCAATCGAATCGAGGCTTATTAGGATTCAAGTCGACTTAGGTTGACGTTTAAGAAATTTGATGAACCTGAGCTGAAAAAAAAAATAGAAAAAAATGAAAAAAAAAAATTACACTTCTTTAGTGTAATGACAATAATGCTCTTACTGCTAGAAAATCTTGGCAGGCTGTCTATAGTTTGGAACATCATCCGCATTAAGGTTTGTGGTATTTGTTTTGATAAAATTCATTTAACTATCTAACTAAATTAACTAATTGAGTAATTTAGAAGCGTTAATGAATACTCAAATAAGAAACAAAACACTAGGACTTTGAATCTTACTGCATTCTTCCATCTTAGTATGAATAAATGACTTTTACAATATTAATTCGGACATGAAAAATTATATTCCTATCTCATTTAATAATATCTTTCGAGTATAATTAAACATATCCTTGCATATGACTTAAAATATCCCTAGCCTGAATGCCAACACATGAAAATGCATTAAATCACAAGAACATTCAATAGGATCATGCAAAGCATGGATGAGTATTCCTAATGTCTATTAGACTTTACAATTGATTGTTAACACGTGCTATCTTTTCTATTCGTTCTCCAAATGATAATAGAAATCACGCGTCTTATCAATTATTGGCCAAATAATTAAAATGCATTAAGATCATAATAAGCATTCAAAACTAAAAATTAAAAAATAATAATAATAAATTAATTTTTTTTAAAACTCATTTCTAATTATACGTTTTTTAAATAAAATAATTTTGTTCATGGACTCAATATTTTTTAATTTTTAATTACATATTCTAGAAAAAAAATATTTTTAACAAAATGATTCTAAAAAATTCTATACCAAACCTAATATGGTTGAACATCCAATACACTGCTTTAAAGGTGCTGATAATAATTAGAGAAAGACTGGCTAGACGTACCCACGCATCCAATATGTGCCATATCTACCATTTATTTCCAATCTAATACGTTCTAATTAAATCACATTTGAACAAGGAGAACTTCCTTCTGCAATTAATACCACAATCACTTTTAAAAGTGGAAATTACCCCCCCCCCCCCCCCCCCCCCCCCCTTTTTTGAAATTCCCCCCCCCCCCCACATACCTCATTTTTTATATATACTAGTGATGTATCGTGCGTTGCACGATTACTATTATAATTTTTTCTAAGTGATATCATTAAAATAACAGTCTATTTTAGAGTATGTAAACATCTGATTATGCACATTGAATGATGTGTTTTAATATTGTTAATGATACCAACCTACCTTATATTTGAACTATTTATATAAATTAGTACTTCAAAATTATTGTATTAGACACAAGATCTAAGCATTTAGATTCCATAAATTTCGCAACTATATTTACATAATGTTAACAAACTCAACCTAGTTGATGACATAAATTGACTTGCCAAAAATAAGATGAAGTAGATCACACTCTCCGATAATTAAATATAACTGAAGGACATAATCTTTTGCATTGAATGTGAGAGAAATATGAATAGGTATTGGGAATGCTAATCTAATCAATCCTCAAGAAAACAAATTAAAATGAAATGAGGAACAATAACATATAATCAATCACGATTCTTTGAGGCATCCATGAATACCAAAAAATAACCAAAAATTGAAAAAACTCTCAAAGTTCTCGTCTACTCAATGAATAAAACCAAGCTCGAAGATTTCATTGTACTACTATCTAATAAATTTGAAATTTTCTCATCAACATGGGAAGAAATAGGGGTAGCTTAACTTCAGCTCTTTAGACTTCTAGTAAGGTAGAGTCACATGATTAAAAATTAATTAACATAATTCTTCAGATGAAGGTTTTTAAGATGTCCACTTTTGAAGACCAAAGTGAAAAATGGTTTACTTTCATCGTTATGTTTTAATAGGAAAATCTGTTCTTAGAAAAATGGTAAAGGAAACAAAGAAAATATGAAAATATTACCAATAGGAAAAATGGCAAAGGAGGAAAACGTAAACTTGATTACTTATGAAAGAACCCACAATGAAAGGATCATTATCAATAAAATTTTGAACATAAATAAACAAAACATCTAGTCCGACACATATAGAAGAGCCAATGTAATGAATATCTCATTTAAACATCTGAACAAAAGGTTCAAAAGATAAATACATAGCAAGAAAACCTTCTATGTGATAGCATTTCCTGGTCACTTGTGGACTTAAATAATTAACAATAAATTCATGACACCTAATCAAAGCCGCATTCTCTCCCTTACATCTAAATAGGTTTATGAGTAAATTACCAATTTTATGCCACTCAAAATTATGGTTATTGAAACCATTATGGAAGAAATAACCAAGAGTATTCCTAAACAATGAAAGTTAATATTACCCCTTGGAAAGTATAGAGCTTTCGAAGAGAGAACACAACGGTGTCTCAAGCATTTGCAACAAGTTGATCATTTGGGACGATTGCAACGCAAGTTGTGCATCCAGTAAATGATCCATTGTAATCATAAAAAGCTTCCTACATTCATAAAAATATTTAGGAGGAATTATTGTGAAATAAAAATGCAGCCAAAAGAAAATTACAACACATCTAAACAATCATGATGCGGTAGCTTACCAATTTGAATACCACCCCATGGATTAAATTAATGTCATACCCAATGTCATTAAGATTATATCTCAATTCACTTATCTGCATAATATTAGTAAGAGTATCAATTAAAGAAAATACATTTGCTTTGATGCAAGTTGTGTAGTAACTGTTATTTTCATCTATTGAATTTCCTCACAGAGAAACCCTCAACTTCAACAAACATACGAACACAGATGAGCATCATAAGTCTGTAACTCAATTCTAACAAAAAGAAATGAATGGGTAAAAAAGAAAAAATCTTAATGGATTTTGTGGGGCCAAGCGGTATTGACTGATAATTAGGGTCCATTAAATTGTCGTTTTGAAGTCCACTTTAAAATAAAACACAAAAGCAGCAAATGGTACCATGGAAAAATAATGTAATATAATAAATGTTAGTAGAATCACCTCAATGTAAAATCATGTTGAAATATAGAATTTGGGCCTCTTCCAAAGTAATCACCACTAAATTAGAAAGAAGTCTCCGAAAGCACAATATAATTTAAAAGAACAATCAAATATTTTGACAGAAAAATCATTGTTGGTTTGAGCTATATAATGTTCATTTTGTAGCTATAAACAAAAGAGAAGTTTTTCGTGAAGATATTTGATTGCTCTTTTAAATTATGGTAGGATTTTGGGAGAATTTTTTCTAAATTTAGTTATAAATGCTTTGGAAGAGGCTCAAGCACTATTGTTAATATTTGACTCCCTAGATGTACCTGCAGAAAACTGTGCAACTTCATTAAGTAAATAGAAGTATAAGAATGAAACCACACATACTAAAGTAGAAATGCATAGAATAATAGTTACACAATAGAGCCAAGATTAAGTGAGGAAAAACCTCTTTAGTTGCACAAAGTTATAGTTTTGAAAAATAAAAATAAAGATAATAAGACATTTGAGTTATGGCAAAATACTGTTCATAAAATCTTAGAATATTTTGTTGTTTAGATTGTCGTGGAGACATCAAGAGTGGGAATAAATAATTTTGTATATTGATTATAAATCACAAATCATTAAATTGTTTACCTACTTGGAATAATTTTAGCTAGAAGGATGCCAGTCTCCAAATGATGATGATGCAACATTAATAAAGTCCAAATGTAGGATATCATCATATAAGTTAATTATAAGTAATTAAATCAAATTTCTGTTACAACCTATTCAGAATGAACAAAATCTACAAATTGGGTGCAATCTTGAAGTAAAAAGAACACAAGCGAATAACAAATCAAAATCTCAATGGATCTAGCTATATAGTGTTCATACTTAAGAGAACAAAACAGATGTTCCATAATAAGCAAACATGAAAGTTACGAATGAGGATGTACGATTCATGTAAAAGTGAAACTCCCATTAGTGCGACTCACTTTGTAAACCACGAACATTGGGATTCCATCGTCCACAAGTTTAAATACACATGTGTCACTAATGAGTGATTTACACTCATTCTATTATGCCATTAATTTCATGATTTTGCTATCTTGGAGAGTATTTTAGAAGTGCTAACAAGTGATTTTGGTGTTGTTTTGTAGATGGATGGAAGTAGAGAAAACAAGAGCTAAAAGAGGTCAAAGAAAGGAAATAGGCAAAAGCTAGCGAAATTGGATGAAATGACCAAAACGTAATAGATCCAAAGTTCGAGAATTAAAATGCAATTAATCAAAAGTCGTGTCGAAACTTGAAATGAAGATCCGAGAGTTCTAGAATCCAATTGGATGAAGGAAGGTGTCAAAGGGATCAAATTTAGTCAAGATATGATCATAAATCATTTTCCAACCAAACAGTTTTGCGCTGGAGTTTTGGTCTCACATTTAGACTCATTTTTGACATATAAAACGATCGAATTGGAGAATGATTCCTGAAGA